AGATGCTATTCAAGCAAGCTCAACCCTGTAAGGAAGGGTTTGTGTCTCTTTCCTCTGTGTCTCTGGAGGCTGGCCTGGGGCTAAATAGACTTCACGAGGGAAAGTACAAGATGAGAGGAACCAAAAGAAAATGAAGGTGTGACAGCAAGCCACTGTGAAAAGTGTATGACATTTGAATGTTTCCTGTATGCAAAGGACTAGTGTCTATGCAAGGCATAAAGTACAGAGATCACCTAGACAGTCTGAGCAGTCAGCTACAGGTCAATGCAAAGCTGAACCCTACCAGGGAATGAAAAGGACCAGAGTCAATCTATGTAACCAGATGTCTACTCTGGGATCCATAGCATCCAGGATGACCCTGATCAGATTAGATTCCCAGCAGCCTTTGCAAGTGCCTTACAACCCAGGTGTTTCGTGAAATGAAAAAGGAGATGGGGAGGGGGCTGATTGGGAAGAAAGTGGGGGTCAAGCCAAGCCATACTGCTACAGCCTTTACCATACCATTTCACCCCTCCTGTCCACAGCAATTTGAGAAGTGGCGTCCAAACCAGCCTGACAACTTCTTTGCCACTGGAGAGGACTGCGTGGTGATGATCTGGCATGAGAGAGGCGAATGGAACGACGTCCCCTGCAATTACCAGCTGCCCTTCACATGTAAAAAGGGCACCGGTAAGAAAGGCTCAGGAAGAGGTCCACAGGGTGGAATAAAAACTCCAGCTGCAAGGAAGCCACTCACTATATGACCTGAGGCAAATTCTCTTCTCTCCTGGCTATTGGGGGCTATGGGAGCATCCTCAAGGAGCACATGGGGGCTGATGTGAGAATCTCTCATGGCACAGCATCACAGGGCCAATGACAAGAACAAGATGACTCATGGGGACCTTTCACAGGGACAAAGAGGAGATGAAAGTCATGAGCTAGAGGATAGAATCCTCAACATCATGCATATGTTGGTTCCTGGGGTGTCAGCAACAGAAAGTCACCCATAATGGCCCTTGGGTGGACCACCCTTTCTTTGAGGCTCCAAAATTGCTAGTCACCGAATCAAAGCTCTCAGGCCTGGATGCTTCAAGTTTAAGGCCATGGGCATCACAGTCCTTAGAGAACCTAGCCTGGTGCTCCTACTTACAGCCTGTGTCCTCAGGCCTCCTTTGGGCCCCACTTTCCCTGACTTTAGATATTTTCATAAAGAAGTCACAGGTGTCTTACTAGACGGTCCTCTTTCCCCATCTTTCCCTGCCCCTCTTTTATCTTCTCCCCATTGTTCAAGCCCACTTTTATATTTCCTTCCCGCCTCCCAGTGCCATGGAGGAACCTGGATGTTAGAACTGAGTATCTCAGGATTCTTAGCCCTTTTGCCCAGCAGTCCAGGCTCAGCACTGGGTAGCACAGCCTAATCCCTTTCTCATCATACCATGGGCTCTGGGATAACCTTCTCTCTGCCTACATTGGCCATCACAGAAGATCTCATGAGACCCTTCCTAAAAGGAATTTGTTCCTCAGTGGCCTGTGGAGAGCCCCCAGTGGTGGAGCATGCCAGAACCCTCGGGCAGAAGAAGAATCGCTATGAGATCAGCTCCCTGGTGCGGTACCAGTGTACTGAAGGCTTTGTCCAGCGTCATGTGCCCACCATCCGGTGCCAGCCCAGTGGGCACTGGGAAGAGCCTCGAATCACCTGCACAGACCGTGAGCATTGTCCCCCTGGTCCTTCCCATGGCCCAGAGTCAGGTTCCACCAACAGGACCTTCTTGCTCTCCCCAGAGCATAGTGGTAGCTGGCACTATTCTGTAGGTGCTGTACCATGCTAAAGGATAAGCCACACAGGGATGGTATTAAAGGTTTCTCCATCAAAAAAAAAAATCCACTGGTCCTTACCACAGGGAATGATGCTGTTCCCTCACAGGAGATAAGAAAGCTGGTAGCCTGGGCTGGGACTGTCTCCTGAGCCTAAGGAAGTTTAATGAGAAATCCAACCCAGGGGAGCAGGTTAGGAGCAGCTTTGGGTTACATTCCGAGGCCCACAGTGCACAGGGAGAGGCTCCTGTCCACATGGGAAGGTTGTGCCTAAGCTTAGCCCTGCCTCCTCCCCTCTCACTGCTTATTTCCCACCTCCCTTTTGCTGCAGCCAACACCTACAAGCACAGGCTACAGAAGCGGAGCTTGAGACCCACACAGAGGAACCGCCCCAGCATGGCCCACTGAGAGGAGCTTCTATGACGTGCCCAGGATGCTGAGCCCAGCAGCCAGCCAGGCTGACCGTGCAGCCCACCTACATGGTGTCTTCTTGTCGCTTTTTGTCATATAAGGAATCCATTAAAAAAGGAAAAAAAACCCACATTGTGTGTGCCCCACTCCCCGTATCACCCAAACTGCATCTAATTTATCCCCTTCTTCCCCTACCCTCCCCCCCCCCGCAAAAAAAACAAAAACAAAAACAAAAAAAGGCCAAAGCAAATTCACTGTAACCCATGGACTGAGTTTAGAGACATTTCTTTGATTTCCCACCGTGCCTTTCCAGGGACCAGTGCAGGGACAGGGTGAGAAGTAAGGGGTTAAATTAAATAAAGAAGATTATTTTTTGTTGTTGTTTCCTGACTTTGCCCAAGAACAGTACAATGGTTGCTTACTTCACCTCCAGGGAGAGCTAGGGGGGGGCAGAGGAGGAGCTGGAAGGAGACAGGGCCAGGGAGTGGGGGTAGGGCGGCTGCAGAGCTTGGAGGACTCAGAAGAGGCATACTACAGCTTAGTGTGTTGGACAAAAGGAATCGAGGTCTGTGCCATCTATGCGGGAAGGAACCTGGGGCAGGGGGCAGGCTGGCCAAAGGGGAGTGCCTTGCCTTTCCTCCAGGGCCCCTCTCCTAGGGACCGTTCATCTAGGTCAGCCACCCTAGCAGGTGTCATTTCTCATTTCTCGGCTGGACTGGGTAGGGGCACTTCCTTCCCAGGGGTGCTCCGCCGTCCCCTTCCCTCTCCCCACCCCGGGACGGTGCAGGCACCAGTGTTCCGTGCACCTATTTATATTTTTGAAAACTAAAGATTATGATAATTATAATAATAAAGACATTGGAAGAGATCTATTTCTTTTCTTTTCCTTTTTTAAAAAAAAAAAATTTCTATTCTACATCTTATTTAAGCAAAAGGTGACCATGATCTGGGACCTCTATGGAGTCACACTTTGATCACATGACTCCAAAATGGTGTTAGAGTCCTGTGTGTTCTACAACAGCTAGTCACCTCGTTCTTGTCAGAATGACACTGCGTTTGATGGACTGTGTATCTGAGTGTGTATGAATACAGTGTGCTTGTGTGAACACATATGACCTATTTGTGTGTATATTCCTGAGTGTGCTTGTCCCCCTGGGTCTTTCAGGGGTTTGGAGTGCAGGTTTGCAGTTAGGCACACTGGAACCTTAAGACAAGGCACAATGTCTCAATGAGCTGAGACAGGAGCACTGAAAGCTCAGGGCCAGCCTGGGCTACATAGTAGGACCATGTCTCAAAACAACAAAAGAAGTACTCAAAAAGACTAGATCCACCAGACTTAAAGGCATGGCCTGTAATCCCAGCTACTTGGGTATTGAGATAGCCTGAGTAACTCTGTAGGAGAGTGCTTGAGAGACTTTAGGTCGTCCTCCACTACCAAAATGGGTTAGCATGTCGCCTGACGGGCTGGGATAACACACTGGAGTGGGGCAGGGGAACTTGAATTTTTAACAACTTCCAAGAGGCTGTTAGTCATGCGTGATGGTGCACACATGTAGTCCCAGCACTGGGGAACAAGATCACTGGAGTCTAAGGCCATCCTTAACTATACAGAAAGCTCAAGACCAGCTCGGGCTGTGTGAGACTGTCTCAATCCCTGCCCTCTCCCTTCCCCCAAAAGGAAACTGACTTGGGGCTGGAGAGATGGCTAAGGGGTTAAGAGGGCTTGCTGCTCTTGCAGGGCAGCCATGTCAGGTGGCTCAGTACAACAGGTAATTCTAGTTCCAGGGGATCCAATGCCCTTTCTGGTCTCAACAGGCTTCTTCACGTTTGTGCCCATACACACAAACACATGCATGCTCTCTCTCTCTCTCTCTCTCTCTCTCTCTCTCTCTCTCTCTCTCTCTTTCTCACACACACACACACACACACACATGCACACACAACACACATACACACATACAGAGAGAGAGAGAGAGAGAGAAGCACACACAGAGAGAGACAGACACACACACACAGATATATATACACACACACATACACACAAAGAGATACATATACACACATGCACACATACACATGTTTAAAAAAGAAGAAAAACTGACTAAACACCCGATTGTTAAGCACCAGGAGACATCTGGATGAAATACAGGTCTGGTTCCCGGGAGCATTGTTAGGGTGAGGAACAAAGACACTCCATGGGTCCCTCTCCTGGGGCCCTCAAAACTGAGCCATCCTGGGGTGGAGATGGGAACCACATCCCTGGCGGCTGGGCCAGCACCCTGAGGCAGCTATGCTGTAGATTAGGCGAGGTCAAACTAAACCAGCATGCAGGGGCAGCCCAGGGGAAGACAGAAGTTATCCCATGCTTACCCAGGACTAGGATCCCCAGTCCCTGAGACTGAAGGAGACAAAGGGTCAGATACAGGGGTCAGCTGAAAAGGAAGCAAGGGAATCAGAGCAAATAAAGTTGGCCAAATAAAGTACACATACCCAGAGAGTCACTCCCAAGCAGGGGACATGGAAAAGGCACCTAGATTCTTTGGAACCAGGAGAAGAAGGGAAGTTCTCCCTTGCCCTAAGTCCTCACCCACAAGTCTGAGGACCCTGTGCAGAAATTTAAAGCATCAGTGCTCAGCCTTCTGCCACCTATATGCTGAGGAAAAGGAACTGCTCATAGCCATTGTCCATGGTGAGCACCAGTTTCCTCAAGCAGGGATGGCACTGTACCAGAATATGGCACAGTGGACCTCAAATACCCCAGAGAAGGATGCCAAGAGAATTAAGAATGGGTCTGCAATAATAATAATAATAATAATAACAACAATACCTTTAAAATGTTTAAGTTGGGAAGTATAAAAACAAATCCAAGCAATTCCCCAACCTACAAAGGACAATGGTCCACCTGATAAACACTCAGCCCAGGAAGTCAGGGGCAGGGCAGATGTACAGCGGGCCACCCTGCTAGTGCTGGTGATAACAGTAGACTCCGTAGCGGGTTTGGGGGTCTGGGAAGCCAAAGGTCCGTACTCCAGGCTCAGGGGGACCACAGTTGAGTCGGGGGTGAATGATAGGATAGCGGGCACTTCCGTCTGCCAGCCAGCCAGCATCACAACGATCCAGACCACGGAACTTCCAAGCAGCAAAGAGCTGGCCCACCGTGGAGATCTGTGCACCATCTTCCTGACAGGCCTTCCTGGCCTCCAGTAGCGTCAGCTTCTCAGGGTGCTCCAGGTAGTATACTCGTCCTGTGGGAAAGTGGAGCATTTGAGTGCTATACAGCATAGAAAGCAGCAGGGCCTGCCACGGGCAGGGAGGAATTACCTAATGGGAATCTATATTGGACACTCTGAAGGGCCACCTCTGCAGGCCTCAGTCCACCATCATACCTGCCATAGGGCTGGGTAGTTCTAGTCATTTCTGTACGCCCCAATTGCATTCTGAGTGGGCACCCGCCTAGACTGAACCAGTCTCTCACCTGCCTTTTACTGATCACCTACTACATGTCAGCAGACACTTTTTAAACTAAGTAGCTGAGGATGACCTTAAACTTGAACTTCTGATCCTCCTGCCTCCTCCTCCTCCCAAGTGCTGACATGACACTATACGGCACTGAGCAACCTTCTGTTTTCATTTATCTTTCAGTGAAAGGTAAGGACGGTGTTTCAGGAAAGACGTGGTTTGTCTGTGCTGACCCACAGCCCAGCACGTAGTAGACACTCAAAAGATGTCTGATGAACGTATTATCAATGAAGGCTGTAGAGCATCAAGGGCAAAGCACTGAGAAGTGTCAGGGACATTGCCTCCAGAACTGTTAACAGTTCAGACCTCAGGCAGGCAGAAAAGGGCAGAGGGTTCTGGAAGCTCCTCCACAGGCCCTCCCTCACGTAACCATCAAGCATGAATGCCTGTGCCTGGCCATTCCACTCACCCTTGAGGGCAGCAGCAAAGCAGAAGACGTCATAACGATGCAGGCGGTGGTGGCGCTGGCCATAGCTTCGAACACCGGGTGCCAGACCCAGGCCTCCGCAGGGCTGCCGGGGCAGCACTATAGGGTACTGCACGGAGGCATCCTGGAGCCAGCCTGCATTACACCAGTCTAGGCCCTCCTCCCATGCTTGGAAAAGCTGCTCAAAAGTGGCCACCACAGCATCCTGCTCCTGACAGGCCTGTTGGGCCTCGTGGAAGTTGAGCTGGTAGCGCCCTTTTCGGGGCTGGTAGGGAAAAACCACACCTAGAAAGGAAGGAAGGAATGTCTCAGAGGGGTTGGAAGGAAGGTCTCAGAGGAGTCTGAAGGAGCAGGAGCTTTTCACCCCCACCAAGATGCACGTGCTTCCAAAACACAGACTCTGAAGGCTCAGATTGTTCAGCAGACCTCCGAGTTCCTGTCCACTACCTAAACCCAAAAGGAGCCTCCCCTGCCTCTCACCTTCCCCCTAAAACTGAGCAGAGTTCCCAGGAAGTATATATTGACTTGTAATTAATCCATCAAGTGACATCCCTGACCATAGAACAGGATAGAAGACAAGCCCATCCTGGTGTGCTTTGGGCTCCAGGGGCGAGGCTTGGCTCCTCTCTCAGTCCTACAGGTGTCTGTAAGTTTATGAAACAGCAGTGTCCGCATGCAATGTCTACATCCTCTAGTCTACGTTAATTCACCTGTCGACTGCTTAAGATCCTGACGCCAAGCCCACAAATCCCTTCACGCCCATGGATCCGTGTGGTACTGGACCTGCAGGGAGCTCACGGCTGAGTCTTTTAAAACTCTCTGCATTTGGGGCACGGGTGCCTATGGGGCACGGGTGCCTGCTTTTGATTTATGAGTTAGTTCGTCTCTCTGATCCTAGTCGTTATTCATTTGTTTGTTTGTTGGGGGAAAGGGCATGTGCATGAAAATCGAGGAATAGCTCATAGCAATCAGTTACTCTTTCCATCATATGGGTCCTGGGGCTCGAACTCAAATTGCCAGGCTTAGCCACAAGCGTCATCACCCACTGAGCCATATCCCAGACCCCTCTGAGGCAGTTTAATTTTCAGACCAGACAGGAAAGGCCAGCTTTGTATGTCATTAGTGGACACGTACGTTGGTTGGTTGGTTGGTTGGTTGGTTGGTTGGTTGGTTGGTTGGTTAGTTTGGTTAGTTTGGTTTCAGAGAACTGGGCTGTATAATTTTGTGTCAACTTGACACAACCTAAAATCATCTAAGAGGAAACCTCTATAAGATCAAGCCTGTATGGCATCTATTAATTAGTGATTAGGCTGAGGAGGGCCCTGCCCACTGTGAGTGGAGCCACCCCTACGCTGCCAGTCCTGGGTTCTATGGGGAGAAAAAGCAGACTGAGAAAGCCACGAGGAGCAAGCCAGTAAGCAGCACCCCTCCATGGCCTCCGCACTGGCTCCTGCCTCCAGGTTCCTGCCCTGTTTCAGTTCCTGTGCTGACTTCCTTGGATGATGAGCACAGCTACGGAAGTGTACGCGAAATTAACCCTTTCCTTCCCAACTTGCTTTTGGCCAAGGTGTTTCATTGCAGCAATAGAAACCCTAACTAGGAAAAGGACAGAGCCTTGTCATGTAATTCAAGCTGACCACAAACTTGCAGCCCTCCTGTTTCAGCCTTCCAGGTACTGAGATGTGTACCACCGAGCCTGGCTTCTTAATGAGGAAATGTCTTAAGAGACTAAAAGAAGCCAGGCACGGTGGCTCATGCCTAGAATCCCAGCATGAAGGAGGCTGAGGTTGGGGGTTACTATGAGTTTAAGGTCATCCTGGGTTACAGAGGAAGAGGGTGGGGAAGAGCCCTTAGGTAAGAGGCCCGAGGCCAAGAACAAACACCTTGGGGCCGGGGGCCTCCTTCTTGAGAAAGCCACACACATGTTCCCCTCAAAAATTACTCTGCTAGCAGGACATGGTGGTTCAATTCTGTAATCCCAGGACTCAGGAGACTGAGGCAGAAGCTCAAGACCACTCTGGTCTACAGAATGAAATCCTGTCTCAGAAAGCTAAAACACAGAGCAGGGTATGGTGGTACTGGCCTTTAATTCCAGCACTCGGGAGGCCAAGGCAGTCAGATATCTGTGAGTTCAAGGCCACTCTGGTCTACATAGTGAGTTCTAGGACAGCCAGGGCTACATAGTAATGTTTTGAAACATTACTCAAAAACAAAGAAACAAACAAAACAAATGCCAGGCAGTGGTGGTGCACTTGGGAGCCAGAGGCAGGCGGATTTCTGAGTTCGAGGCCACCCTGGTCTACATAATGAGTTCTAGGACAGTCAGGGCTACACAGAGAAACATTACTCAAAAACAAAGAAACAAACAAACAAAACAAACATGTTATCATGCATGTTTGAAATCTTACTTTATAAAAAGTTATGTGTTCCTTTTTGTTGTCGTGAGCTGGGTTGAACCCAGGATTTCATTCACACTGGCTACCATTCTACCACTGAAGTATATATCCCCAGCCCAATTCAAAATCTGTAAGTATCATTCAGACCATATCAAGACAGATAGAGATAAAAGTCCACCTTGGCATGTGCTATCTAGAAGTAGAACCTTGAGTAAATGTCACCCTGTGGCCAGGCACCTGGCACAGCCAGGCTGAGGGAACACTGAAGCTCATGGGCCCCAACTGGTTGGGGATTGGGAGGTACAGCAGTTAGTGACTGTATGCCTGGTCCTACCCTGAGTTCTCATTCCTTGCAGCCCCGAGGATGAGGGCTCCCTGTCTCTCTAGGCTAGCCCTGATGACCGTTCCCTCTGATAACCCAGACTTCAGAATGAGCAGTTTGGCAACAGTTAGGCCCCGCAAGTGGCAGGGGTAGGAATCTTTTCCAGGAGGCAAATTCATTCTCAGCACTAAAGGCAGGTAACAAAAGAGCTGCTATCATTTGCTCAATTATTTCCTTGTTTGTTGTACCCACGGTTCCAGGGATGAGCCCTGCTTAGGGGCCAAAGTTGGGGTGGGGTGAAATGAGGCTAGAGGAGTAAGAGAAACACATGCTGCTCCCCTCTCCCCCAGATACAAAGGAGTCTGGGCTACAAAGAGGTCTCAGACTGGAGCCACCAGATACCTGGCTCACAGAGTCTGGCTGGTTCAAACAGCACTAAGTTTTCTTCTAAAAGCATGTGATTTTTACATAAAAATCCAGAAAGTCCAATGGCTGATATTTACCTAGCATGCCCAAGACCCTGAGTTCTTATCCCCCATACCACACGCACAAAATTTCATACTTAAATATGAAAATCTAACAGCAAAGGCCTACATTCTTAGTTGGTATCACAACTAGCCAAACTTAAGTAGATTTCTTTACATGGGACAGGGTTCAGCAGTGTGCCCCAGGCTCTACCAGTCCCTACTGTCACCCACTGGCCCTGCCTTGTTCATATGTCTTGCTGACTAACCCTACTGGAACCTCAGCTCTGGCCCCTATGACCTGTGGAACCAGCTCCCATTTCCTTCTTTCTGAATAGGACTAAATGAGAAGAAATAGGAGGCAGTGGCTTCTGCAAGTTGCTCCCTGAGTTCAAACCCCAGCTCTGCCACTTATCAGCTACATCACCTTAAATAAGTTCCTTGATCTTTCCTCATTTCCTCCTCTGGAAAACAAGGGCCATGATGCCATAATAACTCCCTTTTAGGATTGTTTTAAGATTTGCACATGCTTACCTGTGTAAAGTATAAAGGTCTATGCCTTCTCTGGGTCCTTTCCCCCTCCCTCGGGTCCCAGTGGCACCATTCAGGGCCTCACCCCGAAGCTCCAGCTCTACCAGGCCACTCTCGTCTTCCAGGCCATCAATGACCTCACAGCGGTAGCGCCCAGAGTCCTCCAGTTGCAGATCTCGAAGCTCCAGCGAGACTTCCTGCTGCTTGTCCTGCCTCAGTTGAACTCGCCCTTGGTAGTCCCCAAAGGAGCGGTGCCTCTGCCCGATGGCCACCAGCACATCCTGCTCCGGGGCTCCATTCTCTGACAACTTCCACCACTTAACACGCACATGTCTCGGGGATGTCAGGGCTGGCTCATAGTGGTAGTGGCAGGGCAGGGTCACACTGGCTCCTTGGTGACTGAACAGGGACTCCTCGGTTGTCTCCACCACTAACTTCACGACATTGAATAGACCTGGGGATAAGGTGTGGCACAGGTGGGACAATGGTCTTGTAATACCACCCATACCCTTGTCCCAAGCCCCTCCAGACTCAAGTGTTGCAGGATGCAAAAAGAGCCACTCTGCCCCAACCCTACAAGCGCCTGCTCCTCCACTCCTCCACTGCCCAACCATGTGACTTTGTGCCTACTTCCACTGCGCTGGCACCTGTAGGAAGGCTGAGATGGAAGGATTAATATTAGTCTGAGACCAGCATGAACTACATGCAGTGAAAAAGGGGGAGCGGTGACATCAATTCCTTGAATGTGTATTAGCCTTGCTACTTGCTTGCTGCTTGGATGAAAGGCGGAAATGATGGTCCCACTGTACGTGCCCTGAGGCTTGGTTCCAGGAGCTCTTGTTGACTCCGCCTTCTCTGGGGACATTTATTGCAGTCCCTAAGAGTACAAGCCCAGACTTGCCTGCCTATAGCACAAGAGACCATGAGAAGCAGACTGCATCTTCCTAGGCTGGGGTCATCCTACACCAACCACCTGTGAGGTGCTCCAATAGCAGGTCATTTACAAGTCCTGAGACTTCCCCAAGGAAAGACAGGACTCCCCTCACTCTCCTGCTTCAACCATGAGACGTCAAAATGGCTAATGAGGTCAAAGAGCTGAGACTAGGAAGCTCAGTGCTTAGTCCTCCAATAGCCACCCATGGCTCAGAGAATATGGTGGGAAAGGAGGTGGAAAGAACACAAGAGCCAGCAGATGAGGAGGAGTTTTGTCTTCTGCACATGACATGGCTACAGCTCTCGTGGTCTCACAGTGGGTGTGATCACCTGTACAAGATCAAGCCAGTCAGAATGTTGGCATAAATGCAGGAGATGATCTCTAGGCCCAGCTCCTTACCAAGGAGCTATTGACACTTGTTAGTTGCTGGGGGAAGGGAAATCATTTTCCACTGAGGATGTGTCCTCAGTAGGATTCCAGTGGATAGCCCCACATGGGTGTGCACATGGGTAGCAGTAACTGGATTTAGAAGGTTACGAAAAACAAAAATAGCCATAGTAGTATACACCTTTAATCCCAATACTCAGAGGCAGAGAGGCAGAGAGGCAGAGAGGCAGAGAGGCAGAGAGGCA